AAATCAATCCTCGGCGGGGAGACTCTCTGTTCCTCGCTTATGGCTGTCGATTTCGTCCGTGTCACCTTCTGCTGACTTCTACGAGCCTCCATTCTTGTTCCTCGCGTCTTGCCTACCCGCCCGCCATCCTCTCGTCTCGTCCACTCTGCTCCCGGCCAATCCCTTCCACCACGCCACACCCGAAAATGGGTGTATTACTAGAACCAGTTATCGGTCTTCTCGGCCGCTGTTCTAGCCTGACATGGAAAATAAGCTTGTCTCCCACAAGGAAACATCTGATCTACAGAGTCCCTGATTTGATAATCCAGTAGCCTGAAACAGCCCAAGCTAGCGAGTGGTCTCCCTATCTGAGGCACCCAGGCTTGTTGTCTTATGCCGGACCGAACACGATCACCGACCCAGATGTGTCACCGCCAGGCATGTCACAGTATTCTCGTGCAAAGTATTGACCTAAAAGTCGCCGGGAAAAGGCCTAGAAAAATTTGATCTCGATCTCTCCTGTCATCAACTCATACATTCTGATCCACTTTGGTCGCTACTGCAACATACCTGGAGAGAAAAAGCTTCGAGAGTTCGGTTCAGCGAATACTCCACGGCTTCGAAGAAATTATGGAAATGGCGACCTTTTTTCGGCCGACTGTTCTGACCGAGGCTCCGAGCCTTGGGCGTGTCTGGGTTTTTAATGCCGTCAAATCCGCTAGCTCCTCCTCCCTGGACGACGGTACATTATGCTCTAAACGACTGGGCGATCCATCAACACCTTCGAGGGCCCCCGCGCCCCTTCCCCTCCTCCGGAAACACTGCATGCCCGGACGTTTAATCACCGACTCGTGCAGCGGTTAGAACTGCACGTAGTCACAAGGACGCCGTCTTGTCGATCCCTCATTCGCTCCCGAGTTAGCGCTACAGCTGACCGCCCTGCATAATATTTTATGCACATCATGGATCGGTGATCTTCTTACAAAGGCGTATCAACTTCAGAATCCTGTGGGACTAAACTGGCAACCGTTTCCCGACGACCACAATGCTAATGCTAACTAGACAGGTAAGTTGTTGTTTAATCCCATCTTGGTTTACTAGAGAAGCCATTATCAAGGAGATTCAAAGATGTGTCTGCTTATCGCCTCCAATACCTGGTTCCCTACAAGTCAGTGCAGTATCTCTATCAAGTAAAGTCAAACGAACCTTCCCTGATGTATCATGAGATTTGTGTTTCACAGGCACTACGGGGGGGATTCAACAAGTCCTTGTATAAGTGCTATACCGGGGTACTAATGCAGCAGGGATACAATGGGCGCCAATGCATTCATCCTATGGAAACTTGGACAGCTACTTGTAGCACGAAGCACATGCAAAGAAAACTTTGCCACCAACGAACAGTACAGGCTCTGCGGCATGTTAGGGCAGCAAGGGGTTGTACTTGTTGTACTTGGAATCAATTCGATCGACCGACCGATCGAAAAGGGTAACGCCATGTATGCAGGCAGACTTGAATTGCTGGTGGACAATACATACTTGGTTGTACGAGGCACATACATTTTCTTTTCCAGCTGGGAATCTATGTATGTCTGTATGTACTTGCAGTACTCGGTACCTATGTTCCGAACCCGAGTGCCTGAGTGCCTGGTAGTGATCAGTACTAGCACTAGCACCCCTTCTTTATTTCTCAGCTTTCTTTCCGCGTAGTTGTACTTGTCCTTGTATGTTTTGCTCATGTCCCAGTTCTTGTCCCAGTTCCTGTCCCAGTCCCATGCCGACGCCAACCACCGGTGTGCAAGCTCGAAAAGGCAGGCCCAAGAAGGAAGGTAGAAAGGTAGGCACATACAAATATGACGTCCCTTTACCATCACCATTGCGCGCTGTCGTCATGGCCGTGGTCAACGACTCAGATCTTCTCGAGACTGCGCAGGCTGTAGAAGAGGAGATAGGCCTCCTGTCTCAAGACGTCCTCGGTGGTGGTCGCGCTGACAATCTCATCGTCGAAGCGGAACCACTTGTTATCCTGGCGGCAAAAGGCATAGTAATGGCCGTTCTGGGCGTGCTCGCCCTGGTGCACGACGACGCAGTCGAGGTCGTACATGAACTCGCTCTCCTTTCTCGCCGCACCCCCAGAACTCATACTGGAACTCGACGCCTTGGTCGAGGACGAAGAACTCTTGGTCTCCTTGTCCTTTTTCTCGACCTCGCCGCTGTCTTTCTTCTCTTTCTTGACCGGCTCGGGAACCCTGGTGGGCGGCCGTGTGGTGTATGGAGCCATGTCGAGATGCAGGCCAAAGTCGATCTTGCCTTCGTATTTCTCCGGCCCAAAAACCCCGCTGGCGCTCTGCTTCATCCCGAACCGCTTGACGTGCACGCACAGGATGGCAGGCAACTTCCGGATGCGGGTCTGCTTGGATGCAGACCGTCGCGCGTTGCAGTTGTTGCACTTGTATTGATCGGGTGAGAGGGGTTCGGGTGCTGTGAACGCCCGCAGGCAATCTTGGACGGTTGGGATGGTGATTTTGAGGTCCGCGGCCTTGTCCTTGTTGGAGCCTTTGGCTCCTTCGCCTTTCTTTACGTCCTTGTCCTCTTTGCTCCCCTCGTTGCCGCCGGTGTCTTTTGAATCCTTAGTACCGCCGTCTTTTGGCCCCTTCTTCCTCTTCTTCATCTGTTTCTGGAAATCTAGCGAGATGCTTGAAAACTCGTCCTCCCGACTTGACACGGTATGGCACGTGTCACAGGTGATCTGACTGTTGTAACGTCCGTAGAAGACTTTGTGGAAGAAGCAGATGCAGTGCTTGTCCAGTGTCGCTATCCCGTTGGCCTGGTTGGTAGCGTGGGATTTGTTTTCGGACGACGGGACGTACTGGGCCACCCCCTCGTGCAGGCGGTCAACGATGCACATGAACCATTCTTGAGCGTCTTGCTGCCCCTTTCCAGACATTTGCTATTCACGTAGAATGAGAATCAGGAATCCTCAACAGCTGAACCAAGGGGAAGGAGAGATTGGGGAACGGGGGAACAACTACGTACCGGAATATTCTTCCACGAAGCAAACAAGAGATTGACAGCGTGGGCAGGAAGAGGCTGATCCACCATAGTGACATCGGAAAATAGCTCGGTCATGCCACAGGCAACGCAAGTCTTGTGCTCTTTGTTCTGAGAACCTTCTGCCGACCCGTCATCTTCATCGTCGTCGTCAGAATCGTTCTTCTCCTTCTTGTCAGGCTCCTTGGAAATCGGACATGTGTGGATGGGGTGACCCATCCCTAAGAAATAGCTTGCCAGAAGGGAATTGTGCACCATCATCTGCAGCACGGCGTTCATGTAGCACGTCTCGCCTAGATTGAACAAGCCGCGAACACCGGTCCTGCCGCACGGCCGCTGGGAGGTGTTTGCTGTCAGATAGGAATCGTCCTCCCCGTCGTTGGACTCTGAAATTTTCCTCTTCACTCCGTTGACCTTGCTGCTGATGCTGCTGCTTTTGCCGGTGCTGATGACTAAGGCCGGATCGTAGATCAGATCATTGCAGTTACCACAGTACACAGAGTTGTGGGAGACGGCGAACCCATGCTGGGTCTTGGAGAGGTGCTTGTTCAGTGCCGTGAAGCTGCCGGAGAAAGAGCATGCGATACAAGAGTATGTTGCAAAGTCTGGGTCTAGCTGGTTGTTGCTGGTTTCGCGAAAGGCGTTGATTTTGCTGGTGGCTTCGGTATCGAGATGCTCACAGCCCGCTGCGGGCATGCATTGTGTAAGAGCCATGGCTATCAAGTCTGTGCTGGAGAAAATGTTGATGAATGATGGTGGAACAGGGATGAGGTCGCTATATATAAAAAGAGTGGGTTGTTGGAGATGTCAAAGTTCAGGAGAAACGGAGCAGGCAAGATGGCTTTAATAGTAAGGCATCACAATAAGGTCTGATTGTTCCTGAATGCCCCTCAATAGCTGTCAGTGGGGACACTGACTTTCGTCCATTTGTGAATACAAGAACAATAGGGACCGGGACTATTGTGAATCGAGTTGTGGTCGACAAATCAAGGGAATAATTTTGAATGTGAAGTGATTACATTTGCGCGATGAGGCCCCTGCGCCCCGCACTAGAATTACGGTGGGCTATGGGCTCAGCCTCGCGCCACAGCCTTGCATGTCAAAGGTCTAGACCCCGTGATTCTTGAGCCGCAACCAACCGTCTACAGTATCTCCACACAGCCTTGCCTGAAACTACATCTCGCTTCTCCTCGTCTCCTATCTCGAGGCCGTCCGTCTTCGTTGCTTGCTGCATTCGTTTTAACGCCATACAAACATTGACTCGGGATTAAAAGGAGACTTCCATCAACAGTGGCTTTGCACAAATCTAAGTCACCCGCAGATCCCTCCGTCCGGGTCCGATCCAAGACTTCAGAGTCCCTTTTACCCGTCTCCAGATTCTTCGGGTTTCCCTCCTCGCGCGTTGATTTTATATTTTTACACCATGAAGCCCGACCTACACCACGACACGAAGGATGTCATTGACGAAGACCTCGAATATGTTCTACTAGATCCCATCGGAAATCACCTCGTACTGAAACAAATCTAGCCGACGGACGCGAGGAACAGGAGTGGAGGAGGGTTCAAGGGATAACAAGCCGTGACAGCGATGTGTGTGGCGGATGTGTGCCTTTGGTGTTTAGTGCCTTTACGGGGTCTGTGGACAGATCATATCTTTCGGCTGGTGTCGGAAATGGTTTGTTCTTGAGAGATAATGGTATCATCGAGCTGGAGACCATGCACGCAGATATGCCGCGTGAGCCAGCCACCAGAGGCAATGGGTACCAGAAGGAACCCTGCTCGCAAGTGTGGTTGTGCATAGTGAGGACAAGAGCTGGAAGGACAGCACTGCCTAGACAGATTTTCATCCATAAACTTCATCTATGGAAGAGAAATATTAGTATCTCGGCGCAACAAAACCCGCCCTAAGGAAACATCTCCGCGAGAACAACAGGTCATGATGTCGTGAGACCTGCACTCGAGGACATCGTCTCCTACTTGCTCCCCCTCGCTCGACCGCGTGGTAAACTACTGCCTCTCGAACCCCGGCTACCAACAGTGCCTCTACCTCCTCGCGTTCCCGCAGCAGCACCTCCTCGACCGCCAGGTTGATGGGTCTGTTTGACAGTCGAGGAAGTGCCAGGTGTTATTGACGGGGCCATGCTTTTGCGACGCGGAGTTGCCTTCAAGCTTGCGAAACTTGCATCTGCTGCAGTCATGAAAGTAGCGTCTCCAGCCCCGTCGCCGAGCCGGGTATCACCAGTGGTGTTGTTTTGCGCCGTTGTTGACTGATCATCCGGAATTCCCTGACCTCCCTGCTGACGCTTTTGCCAACGCTTAATTGACTCTGTGATTGGAGCCTGGCGCGAAAAGGTCATTGTCAACTTCGTCCCAGCAGCGGCGCTATTGTGACAGCCGCAACAAAAAAAAGGGGGGATACACGCAACTCACCTCTGGAAAATCAACAACAAAGGCATTCATGTTCAACCCGTACAAAAAGCTAGCAAAACTCTCCCCGAACCGACCAAGACTCTCGTGCATGAGTTGTAAATGCATCAAATTTGCCTCCAGGTCAGCCATTGAGTCACTCAACTCCGCAAATTGCGGCTCTAAGGAGTCGAGTGGCAGCCCAGGCCCTGTGAACAATCCGTTATTCTGGTGGATAGAGGCACGTAATGAGGAACGAGACGAAGGCCGGAGAGGAGTTGTTGGTCTCGAAGTGGGAGAGCGCGATCTCGTTCGTCCGGGCAATTGTGATGTAGGGCGTGACTGTGACATCCTTTTTTTTCCTGACTGAGCAATAGGGCCCGTTTAGGTGCTGATGTTGACACTGAGTCCCTGTATATAGGCACTGAGTACAAACGATGAACCTGCGCGATGGCCGGCATTCCAGAAGACGTGTCTGCATCCGCCAATCACAATCCACCATTTTCGTGCCTTCGGAAAAACATTAAAGGTTGCTCCGACGAGGCTGGCAAGGCTGGCAATTGATACCTACAGGTGATGACAAAAGGCAACATGCTCGTGGCAATCAATAAACAAAGCTTCCCAAAAGCTAAAGGACTGCATGAGATACTCCAGGAAACAATTACATTGTGGCGGAGCTCTAAAGACTAGCTGCCGTCACCGAACACGACACTACACAGATCACTGAGGCCCTGAGATCCGTCAAACCCTGGCTGACCGAACGCCAGGTGCACAGTCCGTTGATTTGCCCGAATGTATGCGCGTTGGATCTTCAGGAGCTTCAATCCTATCCCTGAATCCTGTCCTGTCGAGTTTGCTCGTTTGCTGCACTCTCAGGAATCCCCATGTAAGGCACATAAGATGCTTTCCTCCACTCAGATCCCGTCAAAATCACCACCTGGTGCGTCATCATCATCCATCTCTCCTTCGACAATCTCCTTTGCAAGCTCACGCTCGCGTTCACGCGCCTCTTGAGCATTCTTGAGCTCTAGTCTATGTTGATTCATGGGGAAACGCATAGCCTGTTTGGAAAGTTAGCAAAAGAATCAATTTGCGTTTGAAGATCAATGTACCTTGACACTCTCATCGTGTAACGCTAGGCAAGCTTGTATACGCTCATGGAAAGCGTCACCGGGTTCCCTGGTAGCGTATACATCTCCCACTTCCTTGCTCTTCATGTACCCACGCTCGTGATCCAGGCTGGCCTCGATGACCCCATCACGAATCGCCTTCGCCACGATGTATTCCGCGGACTCTTCGCTGTCAAGGCCAAGCCGCAAACACATATCGCGCAGAGAGATTCTTGCATATGACAAAGACATCATGCGAATGCCGGTTCTGATCACATTCTGGCGCAGTCTCAAAATAAGCGTGTACGTATCATCTTTTCTAAAGGTAGCATTGTACCGCTGAACCAAGTTCTGGAACCCGATCACATCTCCAGAGCTGACGGCTTGCACAAGTTGAAGATATGGCTGCAACGCTTTCTCCAAACTAGGCTGGCGGAAGATCGCACGATCCGGGATATCTCCCATCAAAAGTTCAACCACAATAAGCATTTTGGTCGAAGCTTGATAGAATCCACTGGCTTTGTAGGATGTTGGCGACTTCCGGGTTGCTCCAATTAGGTGCTCGTGAGCTTCTGTGTATGAAAGTTGAATTGCCCGGATGCGGCCGAGATAGTACAGATACCTGGCAATCTGATTGTTGGCAGCGGTGGGAGGGAATTTGGTGTGGGATATCAAGAGATCGGCCTGGGTGACGTGAGAGGTGGAAAGGTAATTCCGCAGAAGAAGAGTCGTGACTGCGGCTTGAATGTCCTGATCTTTTCTCAGTGTCGCAGTTCGGAGAGCATCAAGAAGTGGTTTCCGGATCGACAAAACCGCAGCGGCAGGCGAGGGAGGCAGGGGCGCCAGTTCTTCGAAGAAAAGCGCATAGTAGAAATATACCCGAGCCGAGAGCGAATCCAAAGTCCGGCGATTCAATGTTCGGAGATGTTCAACCAGAGCGCTCGAGAATTGGGCGCCTGCGTTGATTGATTTCTTATCGTAGAGGTGGACTTGAACCAAGATCGAAAGGTAGACGTCGACTTCAGGGAGTATCTCCTTGTGTGAGCCTTTTTGTTGCACTGTATCCCTCTTGCTGTGCCATTCCTCAACTTGTTGAGTGGGAAACGACGGGTCGTCCTTGACGGCGCTTAAAAGGGACATTGCGGTCGCGGTGGGTGTTGCCCAAGTTTGGGTGACAACAGAGGCTATCACATAAGCGGACAGATGTTTTCGGATGGAAGATATGGAACGGAGGACTCTCAAGCTGAATCGAGGATCAAACTGGCTGACAGCGCGTTCCAGCAATGGAAGATTGGCCTTGATTTCTGCAGCAACGTGAGTAACACATCTTCAACAGCAAAAGTCTTGTGCATCTTACCCTCGATTGCCTTCTCTTGAGGATCGACCTCCTCTTTGCCCTCCTTTTCCCCGTCATCATCTACTGCTCCGTTCGTGAGATCTGCATCGGTAGCTTTCTGAGGTGCGCTCGGAGTGTTGGCGCCCTTTGCACGGGGAACGACAACTGTCATCTCATCATCGCCATCCTTCTCCTTTGCTTGTTTTGGCGCCCGCTTGGAATTCTTAGAATCCTCCTTCATTTCGACGTCGTCCGAGCCATTGATGCCATTTCGGGTAGGATCGTTGCCGTTGAGATGGGGTTTGTCGCCCCTCATATCTTCGGCGGGAGGTGGAAAAGTTGTGCTGAGAAACGGACTGGACTGGCGAAGGAGTAGATTCAAGCCGAAACAGGCGTATGGCTGATCGTTTGTTGTGTGGAGCTCTTCTGTACAGGAAGGAGGATTTATATCAGGGCAAGATTGGGTGATTCAGTTGGCATACGGCCCAAAGTTTCAAGATCCTTGCCCACCTCCAATCACAAGTTCGTTGATGCAATCGACCTTCTAGGGTATGTGATTGTGATACACCGTCGAGGAAGAAATGTCGAACTTGAGAGGAGAATGCTTAGGATGATGTATGGGTTGGTTTGAAGTCACGGAAGTTTTGGGTAGGAATGGAGATGGAGATGCAGTCAGTTACCTAGTGGTCATTTCTGGCCTTTCGATGGCGCTTGCTCTCCATAGCGCAGCCGCAGTTCGCCAGGCACAACAGACAGACGCGTTCGGGTGCCTCTCCACACCCACCACAAACTAATCACCAACACTCTATCATTAGAACCCATGATGCATGTACAAGACGCCTTGACGGCATGAATGCTGTACATTCTTGGGTACTGCATATGCTGTCAATATCGTGGCCTCTTCGTAGCCTGTGACCGCAGTATACAGCAGCGCGGCAGGTGAGACGATCAAGACTGGGACACGTGCTTTCACATCTCACAGCAATATGGCTCTTCTTGCGAGCCATCTGGAGCAGATTTCACTATCTGCCAAGTCGATATCTGAGCTGGAGTATGCATACAATATGACTTTTCTGATTCTCCTTCGCTGACAAGGCCGCAGATTTCCTCCTCCTAAGATCTTCACAAATGCTCTACTCAATAACCAGGAGATTACAACCTTGATTCGCGACACGGAACCTCACGAGCGTGCGCTCTTCTCGATCGACCCCAATGCTGTCAATAGGAGTCGTCCACAGAATGGCTTCCGTCCTACAGACACCAAAAATGGTCTCCAAGGTCGTAAAAGTGGGCTTCCTTTGGCGAATCACATGAAACATTCCGCGGTCTCGACGCTACTGGGCAAAGAGATGCTTCAGGAGATCAGACAATCTAGCAGTGGACGATCTCGTGAGGGAGTCAACGTTGAAGTTCTCCTCCGAGGTGCAGAACGGCTCTGCGAGGTGTACGCCGTGGCGGGAGCAAAAGACCGAATCCGAGCCCTCCGCACCCGTCATCGAGAAGTTGCTGGCTCCATAACAATACTTGAGGACAAAGTCTCCAGGCAACAATCCCTTCTAGAGAGCGCAAACCGGGCGTCCAACCCTGAAGAAATATTGGATGAGAATGATCTGGGGCAAGACCTCAGCAAGTACAGTGATACGCCGAACTTGACGGGCGAAGATTTCCGGGTCGAAGAGGAAGAGATACGCCTATTGGAGGCTAGGAAAAAGATCTTGGAGGAGCGCGTCGCCGGTATGGAAAGAGACCTCGGCGGGCTTTTGAAGTGAGGGTGCACATCTTGAAGCCTGACATCTTCACATGAGCATCCAATCAGAGAAGGACTGCATCACCTCAAGCCTAAGGGGACTGCTGACAGAAGCGATGATGGACGATTGGCCACCCGCGTTACTTTGGGCGACGAGACGGCTACCCTGAGCAGCTTTGTATGCCATTGGCATCTCCATTGTGTCCTGAAGTTTTCGCAAACTGGTCGTTTTCCCCGAAACTCGCCAGTTCTCGAAAAGCCTTGCTCTGTTGCACGAGCAAGCTCGGTCGCGTATCAGTGGTCATCATACAGCAGACAATATGGCATCAAGACATTCATTGAAACCACCACCACCTGCTTTCAGCGGCGGTCATATGAACAGGAGCTTCTGCATCAGCTTGTCGTCAACTGGCCTTCCAGAGGAAGATATCGCACTGTCCTCAACATTTCGCCTCGCCGGGTTTCTGCGGTACGTGGCATGTCACGCCGCTCAAGAGCAAGAGGGACTTGCACTTTCGCTTGTGAGCAATTCTTTACTCCTTTTCAACATTTTCAAAGGTCTGACTCCACCTTTTGCGCTCCAGCCAAGCCGGACAGTTAAGTTGCATGTTGCTATCAGAAGCTACTGAAGCCACGCTTCTTTGGTGGGGCACGTAGCCTCTGTTTTCGTCCAGGCTCTGTCACCTGTGCCATCAAATCAAAGAGGTTGAACTTCGCTTCTTGGGGGAGAAGAATGGCGGGGACTTCGTCAGTGGATGGTTGAAAGCGGGCAAGCTTTTCTGGGAAGCAGAATCCGCGGGAACTTATGTACAAGAACAAGTACCTACTCGTGGATGAAAGAAATCTGAATGCATTCTTCAGGGGGCGGCCGCCATGTACGGTACTACCTGGTAGGTACGATGTGGAACAGCAGAAAAGAGTA